TGCCCTTTCTCTCTATCATTGGCTTTCCGTCATTGGACTCATTTGGTTTGTCTCTAAAATGCTATTAACTCTGCTGTCAATCACACATTTACATATACATGTTTCTTGCGGATGAGGATGATGGACATCTTTAAGCATTTGCAGTATTTATAATTCGGATGTGTATCTCTCTGCTTGACAGGAACATCTACAATAATAATCGATGAGCTCAGAAACACTGTGTTGGAGAGATTCAGGCCTACCCTCTGGGAGAGTTTAGCTTGTTTTGCTGCTGGATGAAGCACGAATTGATAAGCAACCTTGTAATGGGGAGACTCATCTAATGAACAATCTTAATTAGATCTCCCACACTGCCTGCATCAAGAAGGATGTGAAAAAGAGTTGCCAATCCTTTTGCTTATTACAAACCCTGTCCCTCCCCAGGCTGCTGCTCAGCCCAGTCACACCTCCTGTCTCTGTCAGCTGGACACAACTCTTCTAAGAAATGTTGTAAAAAAGATACAGTGTATGTTTCCTTAAAACGGAGAGAGTATGGGCTTCTATGTTAAATGGTCTGCTGTCTTTTGGGTTGTTTGTAGCCGTAATTTTGTTGGGTTAGCTAGTTTTATGCTGGCTTGTTTTTCCAAATGTATCTCCTTTACCTTCAGTCAGCACAAAGCCCAGTTGGATGTTATGTTTCTTGATGCTACAGAGTTAATCTGTGGACAGAATCTCTCAATGTCTTGGAGACATGGACCAAAGGGGACATATCTTAGAACTTTATGTTTGAATAAATATGAGTAGCCACGACATATCTGTTTCCTCCAAATGATTATGAGAAGCATGGTTTCTCTGAGTTCAGACGAATGAAATGCTTGCAGTTTGCAGAGACTAATGAAAGACCTATGGCCTGACTTGAAACAAAAAAAACAGGATCATCAGAGGTTCTGGGCCCATAGACCATGCGCATGGGCCCAATGAATTCATGTAAATGACACAGAAGTTATGTTACCACCTCTTAACCACTACAAAAATGTGCTTGAACTACTGTGAAACTTTGGCTGGTAGTGGATAGCCTGGTTTCATGGTATAAAGGAAGATGAAGGACAAGATTCTTCCATGCAACTCCTTTCCTTTCTCTACCATTACATTTACTTCACATAACATGTCATTTTAGCTGCTACATTTATCCAACGCGACTTACATACACTTTAATACCGTAGACATGCCTACGGGAACAATTTGTGTCAAAGACACTTTGACATGTTGACTGCAGGAGAAGTGCATTGAAGCACTGAGCCTCTGATTGGCAGACTTTCATTTACCTTCTAAACCACGTCATCCTGATCTGTGCATTTCAGACGAAAGATCCAGGTAATTTTACACCCTGCCGTCAAACCTTTTGGCTTCCTGCCCCGCTCTCTAGGTAATCTATGCATGAACAGGGACCTGCCTCCAACACTGTTTCCACTGGTCTTTATTTCTCTATATTTCACACTATTGGAGCTGTAATCATGTTCTGATAAGTCATTATTTCAGCCAACCTATGCCCTTGATTTTGGGTCTGTCAGAATTCCTCATATCTGTAAACCAACTTGACAATAAACCTGTTTCTGATTCTGATTCATGTTCCACATCGTAACCCGTAAGATGACTTCATTATGCTTAATTTGCCGGTGTCTTACGTACAGGATCTTGCAGATAAACGATGATCGGCAAACAAAAAACAATCAAAGCGTCTCCTGGGTAAATCCCAAAAAGTAGTCCAGAAGACGCTTCAATGCCGCCTGTGAGAAATAGAAAAAAAATCAAACCTTTTCTCTCGAGAGACCTTCCCTGCTTGTGTTAATGGAAATGTCAGTTAACATTTCATCCCCTGTGGTTGTATTCTCTTCATTCATTAGTATTCCTTCTTCCTCATCGGCTCTCCACGCTGAGTGGCAGCCTTTATGTGCTTTGACTCAGCCCTATGCCATACATGTGCCACATCTCTGGAGACCTGTGCATTATCAATGGGGGACAGATAACCATAAGGTGGTCTGCAGGTGGCCGTCCTCACCCCGCCTTTCCGCTCAATGACAAACCGCCTTTTCTTCCGCTGCCTGATGCTCTGTGTAAATGGCCCACCGGTTCCCTTCCCATTGTCACCCGCCTTTTATCAGCACCTCACAGCCAGTGTTTGAGGTGTGTGTGTTTGTGGGTGGATGTGAGGGTGGGGGAGCGTCTTTCATGGACAGCCATGACAGCTGACATTCTCAGAGAAGCATGGGAAGGCGTTAGCACTGGAGACAGTGGGATGGAGAGGGTAGGATGATGGAGTTCGCTAATAATGGAAGTTGACGGAGGCCAAAACAGCAGCATCAGCAGGAGTAGTAGCACCTCCCTATCCTCCTCCCCTGTCCTCTTTCACCTAATCTTCTCGACAGAGCTCCTCATCTCAGTAGAAAAAAACCACCTTCCCTCCATCACTGCCTCATGCTATGTGTTATTCCCATTCCTCCACCTGCCTCCCAGGGAACACCTTTTATATTCATGGCCGCAGTGGGAATCTGACTCAAGATTGCAAAACAATGCACTGAAGCCTGATTGTGCCAACAGTTTGTCAGTGTCTTGACAAGTAGCAAAGTTAATGCTTGTTTATGCATTCTTTGAACCAAAACATTTATTTGAGGTTGGTTCTGTTGTGGTGCACCTTCTGGTGACATTTTTTCTTTTAGGTACTATAAACCTTTACAAATCTTCACTTATAACTAATCCCCTAAACGTGTGGTATGCCTCTTCTGGTTGCTCCATCTGCAAAGTCACCAACATACAATTTTAAATCAACTCAAAATTACAACATTTCCAAATGACACCAAATCATGTTGATGATGGATACACTATGCAACTTTAAAATAGTTCTATCTAGTTGTTATTTCTAATTTCCAATCGTCAAACCATCAGTCTTACTGGGATTTAAGCCATATGGTACAAACTTACTTTCGGTGAGACAGATGATATACTTTGTTTCTTGTCATGTGTTAGTGTATTAACATAATCCAGACTCGCAGCAGGTTAGGGTAAGAGAGAGAGATGCTTTTCTGTGTATCCTAGCACAGTAAAGCATGCTCAGTCCTTGTTCTGGTAATACTGTCATTGTTGTAAAACATCTTCCCATACATTGGTCCCACGCTGACTGTGAGACAATAGTCATCCTGATGCAATATGGAGAACTTTAATTCATTAATCTCAGCTTACTCACACACTGCTAACTCTCCAGTTGGGTATTTATTGTAGCTGCAGTCATAATAATGGCAGTGGCCATCCTCATTATGAAGATGAATGGTGTCTGGCTCTAGCGCTGGTATTATCCTCCAAATGAGCTAATAGCGTTTCCCAGCAGTGAAATATGACTCCCCTGATGCAGAAGCCGAGCGTAAGATTGAAATAGAACAGGTGTGTGTTCTTTACTTCCTACTGTTCTGAGTAAACGGCTCTCAGCAATGCCAGGGTTTACTCAGCTGTGACATTTTACCCAATCGGTATCAGGCTTGAACTACTTCTGCTGCTTTTACGGTCTTAAAATAGGGCTGTTTGGTAATCTTTTTTGAGCAACAGGAAAAGCGCTTTATAAATACCATGTATTATTATAATTAGTAGGGATGCTCCGATCGCCAATTTTGGGGCCGGAATCAGTATCGGCCGATACCGATCGCCGATCCGATCGAGTGGGTGGGGGCTATGGGGATCTTCCATTTAAAGTGATGTTTAAAACTCAGTTAACGGGGCTCATTCACTGGAGCTTCCACAAACAACCAACATAATTATTACATTCAAATGAAGTACATTATTCAAGTTTACATTAACTTTGGATAATAACACGGGAGAAATGAGCGGAAGCGCTCTCTTTTCCTCTCCCCCTCTCTCTCCTGACAGCCTGTCAGTATCTCATGCAGCTCACTGATCCAGTAATGAGTGACCCGACAGTGAAGAATAAACATATTTATAACTAGTTTAGCTAGTTCCAGAGGTAGATCAAATAGCTAAGTGTGTTAGGTCTAACTCTTAGTGTGTGTTTTGTTCCGCTCACCGGTCCGTCACAGCGGGTGGAGCTGCAGGATTTCTGCTTCACACACGTTGCATACCGCTATTTTACTGTCTTTTTCGGACACCTTAAAATACTGTCAGACCGGTGAAGCCATTTTGGCGAGCTTGTTTTGCCGCGCACAGAGAAAAGTGTCATGTATTTTACGTCATGTGATCGGCTCTCCCGATCGGCCTTTATAGAGAGCACCGATCGATCGGCATAGAGTGAATATCGGCCGTTATCGATCGGCGGCCGATCGGAGCATCCCTAATAATTAGCATTATTATTTGGGCGGAAATTGGCATCTACCAATCAGAGGTGGTCAGTGGTTCCATCCCCATCCCCTGCAGTCAACTCGTTGAAGTGCCCTTGCTTTATCTCAAATAGCTCCTGTAGGCATATCTACAGTTTTGAGTGGAATGTAAGTCACTTTGGATACAAATGTCAGCTATAATCAGCCTCATGCTCCTCAGCATCATGGTTGCCAGTTATTGGGGGAGTTTCTTTCTGCTTTCAGAGTTTCTGTTCTCTATTCGATTGTCCTTTACCAAAATTATATAATTCACATTTGGATTGTATTTTCAGACCCATAAAGAGCTGTAGTCTAAGCTTTGTGCTTACATATGTCATTCATTCTTTTACACACAGCTTCACCTTGAATGGATATTACCATGTAATGTTTTCATGTACGTGTATCATTCAATTGGTGGATGAGCAATAGATTTGAATAAAGATGCCAATTTAATACTGGTCATACTTTCTTTATTAGCATCAACACATGTTATCCTAAATATTTTTTCTTCATGTGACAATAGGAGACGCTTCGTGAATGTTTTTGTATTAGATTCTTTCTTAAAACAAACGGTAGATAGAAAGAATTGTTATTAAGAATTGTTCATTTCTTATGTGAAATGTTGCTAACCTGCTTTACTTCTCTGTGTCTCCCTTCCTTCAGATGGTCACGAGAACAAAGAAAATATTTGTTGGAGGATTATCAGCCAACACAGTAATTGAAGACGTGAAGCAATATTTTGAACAGTTTGGCAAGGTAAGATCATTTGGAGTGTTTTCTCCTCTGGGCTGCTGTGTTTGTGTGAGAGTCTGGTTGCCTGGTGATGATATGGCAACACTGTGTGCTTAGCCAGGAGAATGCACCTGCAGTCTGATGAGATGTATGGAGTCAGACTAGAGGAAGAACCATATCAGTTTTATCTCTGCTTATAATCAGTTCAGCCTGGCATGGTGAACGTAAACCAGCCTAGATTCATAAGAAAGAATCTGTATTCAGTCCAGGGTAACACAGGTGGTTTGGCAAGAAGATCAGTTTGTTGTTCTGGGCTGATATAAGTTTACTGAGGATAACTACCAACTGTGTGTGTGCTTATGATAACTGGTTACTGTATGTGTTTGTTTGGCTGAAGATAAAATATACTGACTTATCAGGTTAGCATCAGCCACATACGTCAAAATAAAGGTGTGTGTGGTCCCGAGGTCACCATGGTCGACCTCTCAGTTCATCTTCTTCTGTTCTCAGATCTACCCAGGTTATCCATCAACGTGTGTGTGTGTGTGTGTGTGTGTGTGTGTGTGTGTGTGTGTGTGTGTGTGTGTGTGATGTGTGTGTGTGTGTGTGTGTGTGTGCTGTGTGTGTGTGTGTGATGTGTGTGGTGTGTGTGTGTGTGTGTGTGTGTGGTGTGTGTGTGTGTGTGTGTGTGTGTGTGTGTGTGTGTGTGTGTGTGTGTGTGGTGTGTGTGTGTGTGTGTGTGTGTGTGTGTGTGTGTGTGTGTGTGTGTGTGTGTGTGTGTGTGTGTGTGTGTGTGTGTGTGTGTGTGTGTGTGTGTGTGTGTGTGTGTGTGTGTGTGTGTGTGTGTGACATAGTAGGGAGGAAGGCGGTGGTGGTTTTTGCTATTTTTTGTGCTGATTGAACATCTACGTACATTTTATTTACACACCTCCTATACTTATGTGTGTATTGCTCTTTCTTTGGGACCCCTTTTGAAGAGCAAGTAGGTGTTAAATGTTCTGTTTATATTAGACCTTAACCTCTTAAGCACGGCGGTCCCCCCATTGGACCCCTCCCACCTTTTTGTTTTCGAGATAATGTCTCAGGGCTTCTTAACATTTATGAAACTATTAATGTGTAGCACCAGATTAACGGGAAGAATCTCAGCTAACTGAAGATATGAACCATTTTTACCAAAACAAAACACAAGTCTCATAAGAAGGGTCTAAATGACCCCTGAGCGAAAAAATTCTAACGCACTGCGGCACACAATTCAAGATAAAGATACCCTTATTACTTATCGTAGCTGCACATACAATATAGCAGATTAAAGCTGAGACTCCACTGATTATTTAGGTATAGTATCATCACTGAGCGATCCGAACTTGCGACAGGGGAAGCAAACACAGATATCACAACACGTACCTTTACGGAGGTTTTACGGCAGATCGTCTCACCGTAGCTGTCAATTAGGTCAAAAGACGTGTTCAATGGCATTAAAACGAAAAAAAAAATGTCTACATTGTTGATCCATAGGTTGATAATGTACCTGTACCTTTTAAAAAATTATTTATAATCCATAATTCCATTTTTTATGTAAAAATCGGAGCGGAAAAGTTAGCTGCTAATGGTAGCCACCAGAGTGTATGCAGCTTCCGGTTTTGGTAACGCGTCACTCTCACTCCTTATTTGTTAACGTTTTGGTGTGTATATAACTTTCCCTCAATTCCATTGGCTCTAGCGGTTATAAAGAGCTTTCATTCATCAAAATCGACCAAGGGGGGCCAGAGATAGGTCAAATCCACCCAAATGACTCCAGAAGTGGGGGTTTTTGGCTAAATCTCTCTAAAAAGGTCAAATTTCACTTGTTTTGCATCAATCTTGATACAGGGTACTTATTATATGTTGTACTTTGGATTCCTAAAGCTTTTAGTCTACTAACCCATCATCCAAGGGTAGTTTTCACTATAAGTAAAAAATTATTTTTGGACAGACACTATAATTTACAGTTTTTTACTATGTAAAATCTGAATTTTCTTTAAAATAAAAAACATCTATATTGATTCTGACTTTTCTACATCCAACTCACAGGTTTATCATTACTTTTAGAATAAAGATTATTAATTTAACCCTTTTAGAAGGGAAGATATGGTCATTTGTTCTGGGAATGTCATTTTCGAGCCTGAGACCTGAAAAACAGGCTCAGGGCTTAAGAGGTTAATGAGTTTATTTCCTGTGAGTTTTATCATTGGATTGTAAATGTATTCTTTATACACACAACACCTTGCCTTTCCGTCCTGGGATAGGGATCCCTCTGTTGCTCTCCCTGATGTTGCTGACAATATTTCCGCAATAATTGTTGGCTTCGTTTTGGAGTTCTTACTTGTATGCTCTTAGGGTCTAAGGACAGAGGGTGTCATATGCTGTACATACTTGATTATAGAAAACGTTTGAGACATAAGTAATGAAAATATATACTGGTATGTGAATTATGTAGTGATCTATTATCTCATGCTTTCAACGAGAACACCTGCTTCTTAGTGGTGAAATTGACCTGAGTGATGCAGCTGTAGTTCTTCAAATACTATTTATTTTAATTAACAAGTAAAATGACTGTGGAATCCCTTATATGTGTGATACATTGAGTGTGTGTGTGTCCCATGTAACTAGGAGTGTCCCTCAGAGGAACCATGGTGAGTGTGTGAGCGATGGCGCAGAAATTACCTTGGAGATCAAACGAGACCTTGTTTTTCCCTCATGGGCCAAACGCTGAGTAACCTTAATTGAGATGGCAGCTGCTTAGGCCTTTTAATTATGTATTTATTTATTTTGCTAATTTATTCATAGATACTGAGCGAATCAGTTCCGGGTCAGTCTAGCGCCAGGCACGGTGGCTGAGCGTTAAAGGAGCTCAGTCAGTTCTCTCTTGTTGCCTACCAAATGAAGGTTTTAGAATAGCAATGACTCAAAGTGGTTTTAATATGTGGAGATTATCCTGCTGAACAAAACAGGACATAGCGAATCATAAATGTGTGTTTGCCATCCATCCCATTTTCCCATTTCGATTGCAATATTGCAACATAAAATCGAATAACAATAAATTCGATTTGTAAAGCACCTTTCATTGCTAACAGCAATCCCAAGGTGCTACAGGAGGCATAATAAAAACAAACAAAAGAAACAAAAGTTTAATCAAAAGCTTTTTTTAAAAGAAAGGTCTTTAGGCCTTTCTTGAAGGCGTCAGTGGTCTGTGGAGTCCTCAGGTGGTCTGGAAGGGAATTCCACAGGTGAGGAGCAGCGGCACAGAAAGCCCGATCCCCCATTGTGCGGAGTTTGGTCCTCGGCAACTACGAAGCTGGGCGGCAACTACTTTTTCCAGCACCTTGGCTAGAAATGGGAGGTTGGAGATGGGCCTGTAGTTGGCGAGGACATCTGGGTCTAGGGTGTTTTTTTTGAGAAGGGGTCTGATGACGGCAGTTTTAAGAGCCGATGGAACATGACCAGCCTTGAGGGAGCTGTTGATGACGTCGGTGATCATGGGACTTATAGCCGAGATGTTAGATTTGACAAGGGCTGTGGGTAGAGTGTCTAGTGTGGAGGTGGAGGGTTTCATCTTGCAGATGATGTCCCATTGATTTTTTTGTTGAGGACTTCGGAGTAGTATAAAGAAATACAACATTACTGCACCGCTGCCGTTAGATAACTGATGTAATGTGTAGGCCAAAAGGCTGGCGGGAGAATCCGTTAACACCAGCTGATGTAACTTTGCATTTATTGAATAATTCTATTCATTTCTCTATCACTTTCATGAAAATTGTACATGTCAGTGATATCAGTAAAGAACGTTGACTTCCTTTGACAGTGGTCAGATACCAGTGAACACATCTTGGCCCAATAAATCGTGTTGGATTTCGTATGACACAGGATTAATTTGGGGATTAAACTATGATTGTGCACCTCAGATTGTAGGGCGGGAAAACGTATTTTGTTAGACGTTAATGAACTGCTCATTCTCATAGCACTAATTCCTGGCAGTATCATTTTTGCTTAATATTCAGATAAATGTAAGTATCAAATTATGTAATTAATCCAAACAAAATCAAATTGGATAGAAAGTTTGTTTATTTATTCTAAATGATGGTAAATCAGATTAAGTCTGAAACCAATAGCAGGGCTAAATTACTACACACATTCACATCCATCCTAACATTAACTTTAAGGCTGAATAACATCCGTGTTCACACGTGTGACCTTCATCTGTTGCAGAGGGTGATACCAACTGTCATCCATTCATCCGTACTTTAATTAACAGTGAAACATTTCCACTACAGTAATGGAAGTATCACTTAAAACATGAATCAGCCACTGAACTAGTCTCTAACTGTCCAGCCTTCATCTGCTGTTCCTGCTTTTCATCTTTACAATACTTTCAAGTCTGAAGAGCTTAAATTCCAAAGCGCAGCAGTGAGCAATAACACAAAATTGTTTAAATGAAGATGAAATACTCGAGTGCTTTCAGTTTTCTCTGCCCAACTCTATGTGGAAATGAGATGGAACAAATCAGAGAAGTTCAGTGAGAGAATAAAACAGGAGGAGGGACATTTGGAATGGTTTCATTGCCACTGACTGATGCTGAATTTCATGATAAAGGTTAAACATAATAGGAACTTGGCATAGAGCGGTTAGTTTTGCCCTGTTTTTTTCTCCAGAAAATTGGTGTAAGGATACTACTGGTGTGCAGAAAGTACCCTAAAGCAGTGGTTCTCAACTGGTGGGTCGCGACCCAAAAGTGGGTCGCGGACCCGTTTCGAGTGGGTCGCGGATGTGTGAGTGAAGAAAAAAAAGTTGGGAAAAAAAAATTCGATTTTCTTTTTTTTTTTTTTTGGGGGGAAAAACTCAAACTTTTATTTTGAAGGCCCGATTTTCTTCTCAGAGTGTACCAGAATGCGTAGTTTATGTTAGTATTTCTAAAAATCTCCTGGGGGAGAATCCCCCCAGACCCCCCTGCTGGGGTTGGGTTTCAGCATGTGTGCCTTTCTATATAG